AAAATAGTTGAAAATTAAAAAATAAAAATACAATAAAGAGACAAACAGAAACAAACAAACAAACAAAAAGACAGGAAGACAGAAGGGAGAAAAAGAAAAGAAAGAAAGAAAAAAGAGTTATGCCAATGGAATGAGAAGAGAGAGAGAGATAAAGCAAGGGCATTGAGGGAGCCCAATAAGAGATATGAGGGAAACAATAGAGAAAAGCAGTAAACTTATTGGTTGTAATGATAACGTCCCTGCAATTAAGCAGAGAATATCAAGAAAATCTTGATAATAGAACAAAAGACAAAACAAAACCAAGCAAAAAACAAAAACCTAAAAAAAAAAACAACAAGCAAAGTAAAACAAAATTTTTTAACTAATTTAAAAATTTACAAATTAAAAAAATTTAAAAATTTAAAAAGAATTTTTTTTTCTTTTCTCTCTTTTCTCTAAAAAAAAAAAAGTCAATCAGGTGAGTTTCATCTGGGCAGCTTATGTTGTCTGAGGCTCACTGTTTTGTATGCTAATTTCAGTTCTCCTGGGAGGTGCTTGTGTATCAGCCAATTTCTGGAGCTGTCTAGGTTTTGCTCTCATGTCCTTAGGTAGTTGGCTGATCTGAGTCTCTCTGTGGAGCAGCTTCACTTGTCAGCTATTTTGCCTCCCCTTGTGGTTGCCTGGTCTTAGTCCAGAGTCTTCTGAAGAGTCTTTAGGGTGGAGGCGGGCTAGTGTAGCTCAGGATATTTTTCCCTTTAATAAGAGGTTTCACTGTCAGGCACTCACTGTGGGGAAGTTAGTCTCAGCTTCAAAACCAACTCCTCAGTCTCTACCCAATCCTCCAATTCTAGCTCCCCATACAATGGCCTGCTGCAGTTTCAGATTGACTCTAGTCTGTTGCCTTTTCTCTATGGGCAATTTCAGCAGCTTGGGCTTAGTGGGTTCAATTAAAAAAAATTCTGATGAGCACTTTGCCTGCCCAGCCCCTAGAAGGGGTTTTAAACTTTTCCTCCAGTTCCTAAACAATAGTCCCTGAGAGTCTTATTCCTGTCTTGTCATCCTGTGAGCTGTTCTCCCTTCCCCATCAGGACTGTGCCCTGTGGGGGATATCTGGGGCTTTAGTGATCTGAACCAGCCCCTTTCCTTTTCGGGGTGGTGCTCCTAGTCTGTAAGAGAGGTAGGCATGCTCCACCCTTCCTTTCCTAGATCTGGTTGGCTGATCACATGGGACGTTTATTTCAAACTCTCTACTATGCAGACCAAAATCCCAGTTTTTGCTCATTTGTCTCAATGCAAGCCAGGAAGGGGGGAGCCCGTTCAACAATCAAAAACTCAAAAACACACAAAGCAACACACAGGCAGACAACCCACCCTGTGAGGTCCAGTCTCGCCCATGCCTCAGTACCAAGCAGGAGGGGTCACAAAGCCCACCCACACAGCTCCCCTGCACAGCTGATCTTAGTAAAGTTGAGGCAGCTGCTTGTGCTATCCAGGCTCCCCTCAGGGAAGGTCAAAAATCTCTGATTTGCCACACCAGGAACTCAGGCAACTGGAGACCCGATCCACCCCACCAGCAGCTCTGATCCCTCTCTGATGGCAGGAGGGCTCTCTTCCCCTTCCCCGTGCCACACAGATCAAATGCTTCCTGGGGTTCTACACAATGCCTTACAGGAAGGCAGAGGGTCCCTGTATGTGGCTGCTTAGTGCAGCCCTCTGCCCCTTTCTATTCTAGAGCCACACACTGTAGGACAGCCTTTCCTATGGTGAGCACCCAGCATGAAAGACTCCTGTCCTGGCCATCATTAGAAGCTTTGTTTCACTGGGAAGGCGCAGTCCCCTCCTTGTAGGTACACTGTTCCCCTGGGTCTCTCTGCCCATCATGTACCGGCTCTCCTTTCCTTCTCCTCTGTTCCTGGTTTGAGGTCCCAGCTTTTGGATGCCAGTCCACACTCCCAAGGGGAGGGAGCTTTGCAGCCTCTAGCCCTAGGGCCTCGGAGGAGCCCAGCACAGGCTTCAGGAGGGACTCTCCATTTCTATGCCCCCCCTCTTACCAGACTCTATGCTGTTTATTCAGTGCTCCCTACTCGAAATAACTTTGTACAGTGACAGATGGTTACTATTCTTATTGTGGTGATCACATCGTAAGGTATATAAATGTCGAATCACAATGTTGTACACCTGAAACTAATATAATATTGTATATCAACTTACTTTTTTAAAAGTTCACTGAAGCCCAGCCATTGTTGCTCAGTGGTTGCGCACCCACCCATGAACCTGGAGTTCGTGTTTACATTTCCAGTCAGGGCACATATCAGGGTTTTGGGCTCAATCCTTAGTAGGGGGCACATAGGAGGCAGCCAATCAATGATTCTCTCATCATTGATGTTTCTCTCTCTCTCTCCCTCTCCTGTCCTCTCTCTGAAATCAATAAAAACATATTTAAAATAAATAAATAAAAAGTGCACTGAAAAAAGAATAAGGATGGTATAGTTTGACTAGAAGAGATGGAAAGGCCCAGAGCAGGGCAGTTTCTTTGATATCTGAGGTCTTCTCATTCACAGCCTGTAAGACCCTTAACCTAATATACAGACTCTGAAGTCAGACTGCCTGGGTTTCAATTCTGATTTACCACTTACTAGCTGGGTAACCTTAGACAAGTTATGTAACCTCTTTGTGAACCTCATCTCTTTCTCTTTTTTAAATTTACTCTACTATACTTTTTATTGTTATCTTTGAGTGTACTCTTTCTACTCATTATAAAGAAGTTTGCTGTGAATCTCTTAAAAATAGGAATGATAGCCCTTACTTTTTGTCATTTTGTAGTAAGGATTAAATGAGTTAATGTGTATAAAGAGCTTAAATGAGTGCTGGTACATTGTAAATTCTATGTAAATACTTTGTAAACTATAAAAAAAAATATGATGACTAAAAATTCATTTAGTAATCAGCTGTAATCATACAAGGTAGGGAGATGTGAGTTTGGTTGCTATGAACCAGTCAGTGGTTGCCGTACATATGTCAGAACATTGACAGCCATTGTTAGGTCACTGCTATATCCTCACAGGTTAGCAGCTGAGCTGTGTTAATCTGGCATGAAGGCCAGAAATCTCAGTACTTCCTATACTCTACACTTCTTATGTCTTTCTTTCATAAAGAATCAACTTCTAATCTGATCAACAACTAATCACCTCAAGGTAAGCAGAATCTATCATTATCTCCATTCCACAGATAAGAAATCTGAAAATGGTAAGTTGAATTTAGGTGATTTCATCCCAGGGTACCCAGGAGAGGCACTGGAAATGAAAGAAGGGACTAGTAATCCCTAGTCCAATCATTTTCCTCTTCGGTTACCCACTAAACCTCCCTTAGGATAAGTTTTTAAGGAAGAACTTGTATGATGCCAGTTTGACTTTTCCCAGTGACACTAACAAATACAGAGAGCCTGAGCTCAAGCTAGAAGGCTCTGCCAATTATAAGGAAATAGACATGAAGCTGCTATTGGCCTTGTCTCACAGGGAGATGGCTATTGTAGAACCCAGACAATCAGGCTCTGGTGTTTCAGGCTTCAGGTCTTATCAGCTTCATGAACAAAGCTGGAGGAAAGCTGGTTTTAATCGCATGCCATATAAAAGGTTTCCCTTTTGTCTAGCATAAACCAGAGCCATTCTCCAGGAGGTCCTTATGGGAAGCCAAATGATCTCCTAGGGAACAAATTGTGCTTTAAGAAATGTTATGAAGTGTGAGTCCCTATTTGGGAATGGCAATTCTCTAAAACAGTGGATGACTCTGCAGAACCTTGCTGTTATCCATTGATAAGCTGGCACATATATTGTGCTGATCAGAGAGCTAAGCAAAGCCCATCTGAGTATCAGCTGAAATACTTTGCTAGCCCAACCAGAGCTTCCTCCAGCTCTGGGCTCCAATATATTAGTCATTAGGAAAATGTAAACCAAAACCACAATTAGATACCACTTCACACCCACTAGGATGGCTATAAACAAAAGACAAGTGTTGGCAAGGATGTGGAGAAATTAGAACCCTCCTGCAATGCTAGTGGGAATGTGAAGTGTTGCAGCCACTTGGGGAAAGAGTCTGGCACTTCCTCAAAAGGTTAAACATAGAGTTATATGACCCAGCAGCTACACTCCTAAGAATATATATCCAAGAGAACTGAAAACATATGTCCACAAAGAAATGTGTACAAAAATGTCTGTAGCAGCATTATTCACAAGAGTCGGATGTCCACAAATTAATGAATGAACAAACAAAAAGCGGTATATCCACACAATGTGATATTATTCAGCCATAAAAAGGAACAAAATACTAATACATGCTACAACATGGATTAACCTTGAAGTGATTGTCTAAATTATTCTTTTTACTTAGGCAATCACTTCTAAATATGGCTGCACTTTGAAGTCTCCTGGGGAGCTTATGCAGCTCCCTGGGAATCTTTGAGAGTGGGGCACCTGGACCAATGTTTGAAATCTATTAAACTAGATGACCTCTAAGGTTGCTTACAGCTCTAGGAATTGTATGAAATCTATGACAATGGATCACGGACAACATTTTTGAAGCCGAGGCTATAAGAGAACCAAGCACAGTAGATAGTTGTCACTTAGAATGGGTCTCCCAATAGGTCCTTTTTGAAATCTAAGCTGGTTCTTCTCCAAGGCTTCATTCACGCCACCGTACCCTACCCAAGGTTGAATGAAGATATTCCTAACAGGGATGGTCTATGGCTGAAGGGACAGACCCCACCTGATGCCATCATGCCTGTATAGGTTGCTTTAACAAGAAATCACTCCATTTTGCAGAAATCTGCCACTGGAATTGAGGATTACTCATCCCTTGCTCTATGACGTTTATAGACAAGGGTGGCTAGAATGAAGTGATGGACTCCTGTCAGTCCTAGGCCTTCTATTTATTAGCACCTGTGTTGTCACACAAGTTCAGTGTTAATAATGGGGCTGATTTCTTGTTTACTTGTTTCCCTTAACATTATAGAACTAAGCTGAATCATGTTCAAGCTCCTAACATCCTGCTGGCCTGGACTAAATACTGAAGAGACACGAAGGTAATATCGTAATTATTTCCCCAGACCTATTCAATCATTTCCTCCAATGTGTCTGCCCACAGTCCCTCATGGGACAAATCTTCATGATATATATTGGTAGGGGAAGTGATTAGGCAGTGTCTGCAATATTGAGGACAAGGTTTGAGGAAAATGGCCAATTCTACAAGGCAAGTGACTCAAGGAAGAAAATCATCCTTGGAAACCTTGGGGAGGAGTTCCTAAAACACCTTCTACCACTTGGCTGTGCCTTTTATGGTACATATGTTGGGACTACTGTAGGCAGAACTCCAAACAGCAAGGAAGAGTAAAATTCTTTGTTTAGCCTAAGAACTAACTGCTTTTAAGGCTTTGGCTCATTTTTCTTTTCCATTGACAGGAATGTGACTATCATCATTATCGGTCTGGAGAATTCAGGAAAAACTGTTTTTATGGAAGCCTTCCACAGACGTAAGGAACTAAGAGCATTAGATAGTGGTTTAGGTCTCTCATGGGACCCAGGGACCAATGGAAATAATCATTCCTTCCTAGCCTTACTTCATGGCCCTTGGGTTCCCTCTTTTGAAGATAAGCACTTCCCAACACACATACACAATCCTCTCCTGGGCTATTATCAGCTTATTCATGTAATGTCTGTCATCTTCTCCCTTTACAAGATATCCTAATTGAAGGTCCTCACATAGTGTCAGTATGAATGAACTCAATCTATGGGAAGCACTGCAGTCAATTATGAAGGATAGCATGTTTTAAAAAGTGTCTAGTTTCAGAGCTTAATTAAAGTGGAATTTGGTCTAGATAAGAGACAAGTGTGGGATGATAAAGAAATTTAATAACATGAAACACTTTGTGACAGTTAGTATAGAGGGTTGGAACTTGAGAAATGTTGTCAGTTCAGAGATGTGCAAGTTTAATACCAAATCTCCAGTTTAATACCTTGACATTTCAAGAAGTAGTTACACAAAATTGCAGAGAGCTGCTATTCTAGTTGTGAAGACACAGCTAACTGCCGGCCAATCAAAGAGCCCGGCACACAGGGTGGCATAGGATGCCCTCCATTGATATTTATTAAATAAAAGTAAGGGTATGATGATGTGGCTGAGTTTTACATAACTTGGAAGCCCTCAGCAAAGTACAGGAAAGGGCTAACCTGACGCCTCTGCCACTGGCGTACTGGAAGCCTGCATCAATTTCCTTGAACTCCAGTAACAGCCTGCTGGCTGATCTTGCCATGTCCAGTTGTCCCCCAGCATTCAGTCAACACAGTTGCCTGAAGGACTTAGTGCAAAAATCTGATCATGGCACTTTTCTGCTCAAAACCATTCAGTGCCTCCCCATTGTATTCAAAATAAATCTTAAGTTCTGTAAAGGCACACAGATTTGGTCTCTGACTTCTCTTCCAGCTTCATTTCTCATGCTCTCTGCACAAATGACTTGCCATCTTCTGCCAACATGCCTGTGCTTTCTGTAATGCTGTCCCACTACCTAGCATTTCATCCTCTCCATTATCTACCTGCTTAATCAAATGCCTTTAGACACAGTCTAAGTTGACCTTAGGAAAGCCATCCCTAACACCTAGTGCCTCCTTCCTCGGCCCCCAGTCTATTCCATGCCTCCCTCTATCGTGCACTTATCACAACATCATTGTGCAACTGCAAGTCCATTCTCCTCAGGCTACATGTTGCTTCTTTACGTCCCTCCCCCCACCCC